ATTTCCAAAGAAAATGTCATAATAAAACATTGCTAATTAACTTAAGAAAAAAACTAAAACATTTCAAGCTTTGATTGAAATCCCCAAAAAGACCATATGAGATGTCCAAAATTTGAGGCACAACTATCAACTTCGGCATAACTACAAAAGTAGCACCAATCCACCATTGGGGTGCTAGTGATTATTACCCATAGTATGACATCAAAATTCATATTAACTATTTGATCTTGTTGACATTCACAAGTGTGGTCGATTTTATATGATGTAAAATCTTTACTATGATTTTATGATTTCGAATCCCAACTTTTTGATATCCCAATTTTAACTTAGTTGAGGGTGCTTAAGAGGACTTAGGAAACAAAAAATGATTTTATATAGGGGTCAATCCAAAAAGATATGTAAATTGGAGTTATCAATTTCTATTGACATTAATATTCATATGATGATATCCTTAAATGTTTTTAATTAAATAAATAAGTCAAGTGCTACAAGTTGAAATGGGAATGAGCTTAAAAGAAGAGTGTAGCATATGAAATTGACAATTACAATTAAGGTATTGTGGATAATGCTGCAAAATTACAATTAGGACAAAGTAAAGAGGGAGATTAGGTGCTAGGTTTTTTACAAGTTCAGGTCCTAATACCATACTTTTGCCATTGATTTATATCCACCAAATGGCACAAATTGGATACTATCAGCCACATATGAAGAATAAATGAAACATTAACTACACTGTGAAGTTGGGGAAATTTGTCCATAATTTGCATTCTACTTGGTCACTAAACAAATAGAATCAAACTAGGTCAAAGAAAAGATGAAGAGTATAAAGTTTTTATTTTTCTTCAAATTAGGGAGAAAAATATAATGAGATGCAAAGAAATTACTGTGGAAAACTTCCAAGAACTATTGTCATCCATACCAAATCATTTTTCCATGTCTCTTTACTTCGTCCTCCTATTCTTTCTTCACCGTTATGCCAATCACTATATATATCTTCTTCCAGTAAAGAAGCAAAGATTTCTCATAATCGATGTCCTTTTATATATATACATATATATTTATCTAAATCTTGACCTATTATCATATCACAATATGAATTCAAAAACATATCAAAGATCAAAGACTAGATAAAGAAAACAAGATAAAGCATTACAATTTGACTAAAAACCCAACTCATAGCATACTTGTCTCAAAACACATTTGAAAAAGTCAAAATAAAAAATAAAAGAACAAATGAAAACCATGAATAAAAAAAAAGAGATATTTTGACATCACCCAAAGAATTTCAACTAAATTTCTCACTACTTCACCTGAAAAACCATTAAAAGGAAAATGATTAACCATGAAATTGAAACGAAAATGGAACAATATTACACTTTCGAGTATAAACGAGTCTAGTGCAAAATGGAACTCTGTTGTGGCTTTTTCTCCACAGCATATGCTTTCTTAGAACTAAAATCTACAATATACAGGTCTCATTGTCAATTTACACCAAATACCATATGCCAAATAAAGCAACATATAAATTAAGACAAAAACATCAAATTAATATGACTCTCACTCTACCACTGCTAGAGAACATCCCCCATTCTTCTAAACATCATTCTCTCCCCCATCCTTCCACTTCTCCTACCATTTTTATCGATCTTAATCACATTCAACTCATACAAACCGTACGAGAAGATCGAGTGACAAGGGTGATATTTTTCCTGAAAAAATTAAAATGTAAGAAGCATTGTAATTTTTGTTGAGTAGGGGGCATAACCAAAGTCCAGTACTACTATACTATGGGAGGACCATAGCAAAGTGCAAAAAAGAATACTAGAGTGGCATCAACAACATCATATTGATCACCACGTACAGTGGCCAATGAGTTTGGACTTTCAATTCAAAAAGTGTTTGAGATAGAGGACATAGCAACAAAACTAGTGCTGCTTGAATAAATTAGGGAGAAATATTTGCCATATATTGAGCAAGATTAAGTAATAATGTACTTGGAAATAAACAAACAAATAATTAACCAAAAGAGCAACTAATACTTCAAGTTACGTATTAGATATAATTGAAATAGTCTAATCTCTAATGTAAAAATTTAGTGCTTGGCACATCGAAAGAGATGTACTAAAAAAAAAGGACTTAAGGGCATCACAGTCATAATAAGGACCCTAAAACAAATAATAAGTTGTAAAGGGTTATGTATGAGAATCAATTAAAGCTACTTTCTTTAGTTGGAATGGAAGTGAATTCTATGTTGGATATTTAACATTTTCTAATTTTTGAGTAATTTTGGAAATTGGTGCATGTGCTCTTTCACATTCCAAGGACGTGAATTGCGATTAGCATATGTGGCCCCTTCACCTATTGCAACAATCACATACCGCAAGAACCAAGAAAACTGGATTGGTCTACTTTCTTTCATGTGCCAAACTAGTGATTCAATTGCAACTTCTTGGGCCTATAAGTACAATCCATGATGTCACGGTGTTGACGACCACTTAAGATTTTTTCAAAATAAATTAAAAATCAAGTGTGAAATGTATAAGAAAAAGGGAGTCGACAGTCGTCCAAATTATAAGGTGGGACAAGTCACCTAAAATGAGTTTGCGTAGAGATCGAGGTTCGGGGGTTCGGTTAGGAGTGAGGAATGGCATGTGCGCACCTCACAATCCTCCATTTAAACACGGTTGCATACTTTAACATTGGGGTTTTGATTCAACTTATTCATCATGTTTATGTTTGAGTCTTAGTAGGAAAGCTTGAAAAAGGGATAGACCAAATTGTGACATTTTTAAATTTTTGGGCTAAAAATGGACAAAATCAAAGACATGCATGCACAATGAAGACAAGTAAAAATTAAGGGGACTAATTTGACTAAATTCAAAACATAAAGGACTAATTTGAAAAGAGTTGAAACCCATGGACTGAATTGCTTAATTACAAAAGCTTTGGGTAAAATTAAAATGAGAAAGTAATTAATGGAAATTAAATAATATAATAATTAACTTAATTAAATAATTAATTTAACATTAATTAAAATTAATTAATCATATTATTAATCTTTAATCAAGATAATATAATTATCTCAAATTAAAATGAATAAATATGATTAATTTATTTTAATTAAAATTAATTAATATTACTAATCATGAATCAAGTCAATTATCTTAATTAATTAATTTTAATTTTCAATTAACTTCAATCTTGGTCAAAGTCAAAGCTTTCTTTTATTTTATCTCAATTTCACCCACAAGTTTTATGATTAAGCAATTCAGTCCCGAAGTTTCAAATCTTTTTAAATCAATCCTTTCTGTTTTCTAATTTAATCAAATTAGTCCCTTTAATGTTATTTGTGCTTATGATGCATGCTTGTCTTTAATTTTGTCCATTTTAGCCCAAAAATTAAAAAAAAATGTTTCAATTTGGTTTACCCTTCTTTCAAGCTTGCTTATTAAGACTTAAAATACAAACATAATGAATAAGTTGAATCAAACTCCAATTTTAAAGTATGCAACCGTGTTTAAACGGAGGATTGTGAGGTGTGCGTATGCCCTTCCTCACTTCTAACTGAACCCCCGAACCCCGATCTCTGCGCAGACCCGTTTTAAGTGACTTGTCCTACCTTATAATTTGGACAAGTGGCGACTCCCCTTTTTCTTATATATTTCACACTTGATTTTTCATTGTTTTTTTTTTAAAAAATCTTAAGTGGTCGTCAACAGATTGGCGACTCCACTGGGGACTGAACCCAGCATCTCTGGTTTCCATATTTTGGGTTCACGAGGGTCGAGCTAATACTTTAACTTTGGGGATTTTTTAGCTTTTGATTTTCTTCGTTTGTTGAGTCTTTGTTGGTCTTTGTCATTTGTTGCATGTGCTTGTTGCTTGTTGGTTGTTTTGGTTGTTGCTTTTACTGTTTTTTGCCTTTTAGTGATTATCTTACTATATCATGACATGCATCGTACCTTACTCACATGTTCATGCATCATATCATCTCACATGCTCATCCATCATTGATATTATATGCTTATTCATCATGCATCATACTTACATGCCTATTTGCTTGTTTTTGGATATACTCACCTTTTTTACTTGGCTATGGAGTACTTAGTGAGTCTCTTCCCTCTTGTGCGATTATTTATATTTTTTTGCATGCTAAGTGTTGGTTGCTTTGTGTTACTAACCTTTTGCATTTGGCATGGGAGTAATAGGTGAGCCCCTTCCTGCTATGTAAGTAGGTTTGTTTGTGGGTGATATATTTGTTGAGTGTTTTATATGCTTTATTTGATCGTTGTGGGATATATGTTGCTATTTTTGTGGTTGCTACTGTGCAGGTTATTGGAGTGTCATGCCCCTTGCACACACTCACTCTCATTTTGAATTAGGTCCATGTCGGAGGTGAACCCGACCTCTAGTCTGGAATCCTTATGAATCTGGCTTGAAAGAGCAATTCTTCCCGCTTTGAGGGGTAAGATCGGTTCCTGTTAGGTTGTTTCCATTGGTTAATATGACACTTGATGATGTAATATCATTCTGTGTATTAGTTTTTGGAAATATCTCCCATTGATTTCGAAAGGATAAATGGTTGAGAAGGCCTAATGCCCTTTAGGAAAACATGTATTTGCCTTAGAGAGATACCAACCCTAAGAGATGTTTCCCCTAACATCCCACCCGTGAGGTTAGGGATCCCATGTCTAAGACACAAAGGGGCATTTTACTTCACTAACTTGGTCTCCGCATATGACAAGTTTTCATTTTTATATACATTTGAGGTATGATTAGTTATTTATCTTCTGCATTTAGA